AAATTCATGTGCTGTAAGGAAGCAAGAGGGCCGAACTATTGTTTTCAGTATTTTTTTCAGGGGAAGGAGAAAGTATCTGAACACCTGCCCCGTGACGCACCACAGCCCGGAGCCACGGAACACAGCTCGGCTACCCCCACAGGGCAGTGGCAAACCCTCCCGGTGTCTCACAACACAACTCTCCCTGCCAGGACGAGCCCGTTGCCTGCCCTGCAGTGCCCCAAAATGGAGGGAGGGGTGCTCCTCTCAGGGCCTGCGGCACTGGCATCGCCGCCTCGAGCGCATCTCGGGCCGTGCCCTCCCAATGCTGCCTGCCAGCAGCACTCACCCTTGCGGCACAGGGCCAGCCGTGGCAGCTTCCCGTGGGTCAGCTCGTGACGGAGATCCACAACCCAGATGGGGATATCCACCTGGAAGAACAGCCACGGGCGTTACCCCACAGTTCCTACTGCATCACACCACAACTGTATGCAGCCCTGCAAGGCTGCAGAGAACCTCTGCCTGGGTGGGAACAGCCTCTTCCAGGCCATTCCCGCACCCCAGTCCCCCAGCTTCCCACTTCAAGGAGATCCCCTCATCTCTGATCCCGCTCCTCCTGTGGCCTGGGATCCATACAAACTTGGGAGTTTACAGTTTAAGCTCTTCAACGTTACTTGCAACAACAGAGGTCTTTTTAGACAGAGGTGCTATGTACAATTTAATGAGATACTAAGAAGCAGTTAAATTATATTTAAACTGATGAAACATTCTGGATGACAGTTCATATAATCAAATATGCAAATCATATCATATATAATACTCAAATCATACACACTCTAAGTTGCATGCAATTTTTTTCAACTTTCCTAAGGACAACTAACTTTAACTATGAAAGACCTCTATTTTTAAGCTTGATGAGTTTTAAAATATGAGAAGCAGCACCATTCTTAAAAACCCACAAAAAAAAAAAAAAATTAATCATTCTCACATAGGGGCCCCAGACAAGGCTGCATATATAACAGAGTCTCAAATACTGTCTGTTCTTCACTTTCAAAACTTGCTGTTCAGACCCAGATATGATGCTCAGTGCAGCTGGCAATAAAAGGACTCAAACTGGTCCTGCTACTACAATTACACCTTGAACCTTCCCCCCTCCACACAGAAGCAGACAAGCCCACTTCAGGGGAGACACACGAGGTGAAAATGCCTGCACATGTAGGTGCTTTTTATGTAGTATAACTGTGCTTGTCAAAGATGAGAATTCATAAATCACAGATTTAGCTCTTTTTCCATATCTCAGCAGCAAAGAATCAAAAATGTGTGGTGTATATGTCAAGTGGGACTATTTACAAGTAAATCAAGACTTTTGATCACACATGATTCAAAATGCTTTAATGATCATCAGCCTTTGTTACTCCTAATCTGACTTTAAAGAACAAAGTTTTACATCTAGTCACATCAAGCCTCTTTAAAACTTTGCAGTTGGAAAGAACCGGCATCTATATGCATTGTTTTGGTTACAAAAGAACGATGCCCCACAACTCCCTCCACCCCGTGCTGTTAGTGGACAATGCATATACATAAGTTATCGAGTAACTCTCATTAAATATGTACCTCTTTGGCTAATTGTCTCAGAGGAATGCTGACCATTTTCTGTTTCCTTTCTGTGATCAAGTTGACAAACCTGCATGCAAGTTACACAAAAGATAAATTACTATCAAGAGCTGCAGAGAAAGTTGGAACCCCAGAGAGAAATCCCCCACATGCTGTACAACACTGTGGTCCCAGAGACACAAAGTGAAATTACACAGCTGAATAATGCTGTCTGCCCAGGTCTCTCTCACAGCACACAGCCCTACCTTACAAGAGCCAGCCCGTAAGACAGGATGAGCTCATGCGACTTCAGTCTGCCAGATGAATCCAGGACCTTGCAACAAATCAGTTCAGCGGTGCAATCCACTGCAAGAGGCATTTTGAGACCATACCTAGAGAAGAACAGGTGAGCAGTCTCACAAGAATACACTCCCTCTGCAAAAAACACGGCTTTCCAGCTACTTTTTGCGCTCTGCGGTACACAACAGCCTGAGAAATGGTATGCAGAGAGACAGCATCAAAGGCTCTTTCCAGATGGCTTTTATGTGGAACAGTGATTACATGGCTACGCCTAAACATATGTTATGAGTACTAACTGATATGCTAAGCACATACACAATACAAGATGCTGTACCTAGACTGGCCTTGCGTACGGATGCAGCGGGGGCAACACAAACCGAGTGAGGCGATTTGGGGGCCCTGCATACGCTCACTGCAGCATTCTGCCTTGAGAAACTGGTCTGTGAAGCTGCGGGCACGCAGGGTTCTGCCTCCCCGGTGCCCAGGGGCCGGGCCCGCTCCCG